TAAATACATTTGAGGACCCAGGGTCATGGTGGAGCCTCTACCATTGACCATTTTTAAAGCCTAATCAGATGGTTTTCCAAAGGATCCGTTCTAGGAGTAATTTGGGGGGAGGTCTATGGCCTGTAGTTACACAGTGGGCCAGAGGAGGTGATCACAATGGTCTCTTCTGGCCTTGGAATCTATAAATTAGTCCCCAAGGGTTTGTCTTGACTAGGATTAGGAGATGTGTTGTTGGGACGTGTTAGCTCATCTGTGCTAACACCTCTGGTCTAACACAAGGCTGTGTAGGCTTTAACATGTGCTAGCGGATTAAGTTGGAGGCAGATGGGAGGTTCAGCACATGTTATCTAAGGCCTTCTGTCAATTGTCGGGCTCTCTCCCCAGCGCAGAAAGGATCAGTCCCAGGCCAGGGCCTTGCCTCAGCGCATAATTTATTGGTTCAACAGAAATTTGGGGGAGAAATGTCAAAATAAAGTAGTTCTCCTGCCCATCATAGGCGGCAGTTCCCAGAGGCTTTTCCTCAGCTCCTCCGGGTCCTTGCCCTGACCCAGAGCCTACTACAGAATCCTCCCTGCTCACTGCACTTCACTAGCTCTACTGAGCTCTTACTGGCCTTTCTAGGGACCTCCTCAGGCCTCAGCTAGGAGCATTGGTGAGGCTGGGCCAATCGCCCCTTAAAAAGGTGCCTGTGACACCTTCTAACTCACCTTTTATCCTAGTTAAAAAAAGAATCGATCTTTGGTGAAACATGGCCCCATTACCACAGTCTCTGAGCACCTCACCCTCTGTAATGCATTTAGCCTCACAGCACCTCTGGGAGGTAGAGCATTGCAGTTATCCCACTGGCCACGGTTCGCCGCTCCAGGCCAATGGGGGCTGCGGGAAGCGGCGCGGGCTTCGGGATGTGCTGGCCGCCCTTCTGCAGCCCCCATTGGCCTGGAGCGGCGAACCGCAGCCAGTGGGAGCCGCGATCGGCCGAACTTGCAGACACGGCAGGTAAACAAACCGGCCTGGCCCGCCAGGGGCTTTCCCTGAACAAGCGGCGGACCGACTTTGAGAACCACTGGACTAGGGCACAAAGCTCTGGCCCCTCCTTCCTCTCTACGCTAGGCTTCTCACAGCACTCGGCATCGATAAAATTATTGTCTTTTTTTTTTTACAATTTCAGTGCAAATAACCTTTTTTAAAAAACAGACAAATGTTTTCTGGCACAGAGGAGGCCCAAACACAACAAGCTAGTCCTAAATGAAAACCCAGTAGCCAAGATGTGTTTAAACAGAAAGAGAAACTGACCAGCGTAGTTTCACGTTCTGGGCAGAAAAGTAAACCAAGAAACTGAATGAAAGACGAAAAGGAAATTTGACTTTAAAAATCTTTTCGGTTGTAATAATCTAGGCCAGTGGTTCTCAAACTTTTGTACTGGTGACCCCTTTCACATAGCAACTCTCTGTGTGTGACCACCCCCTTATAAATTAAAAACACTTTTTTACATATTTAACACCATTATAAATGCTGGAGGCAAAGCAGGGTTTGGGGTGGAGGCTGACAGCTCGTGACCCCCCGTGTAATAATCTCGTGACCCCCCCGAGGGGTCCCGACCCCCCAGTTTGAGAACCCCTGATCTAGGTGGTTGTTAGGAGCACTTGTAAGAGCATATTTAAATCTATTTAACTAGCTGTATGTCTACCCATCTCTCTATCTACCCATCTATTTTGAATGCACCTGTCATTATGATGTCTGGATATTCTGCAAACCATCCCTTGTTTTCTAGTGTAGACCAGGCCTTAATTTGGGTCACTTTAATTCTGAATAAGTATGTCCACATAGGGCTTTAATGCAGTTTTACTAATCCACTTTAAAAGCTAATTCAGATTAATTTTCCTGAGTGTCCCGATACAGACAAGACCTAGTTCAGGGAAGGAGGTGTGATGGGGCTCTTTGTTGGGGATTGTGGAAGG